AAAGAGAGAGAAGAGAGAGGGAGAGGGAGAGGGAGAGGGAGAGGGAGAGGGAGAGGGAGAGGGAGAGGGAGAGGGAGAGAGAGAGAGAGAGAGAGAGAGAGAGAGAGAGAGAGAGAGAGAGAGAGAGAGAGAGAGAGGAGGAGAGAGAGAGAGAGAGAGAGAAGGTGAAGGAGAGGAAAGAGAGGAGAAGGAAAAGAAAGAGAGAGAAAGAAAGAGTGACGTGTTGTGATGGAAAATGTTTTGCATACAAAGAGATAGACATAGAAAGAGAGTTAGACTAATAGATGAACAGACAAAGAGAGGGAGATTGAAATACAGGGATAAATGAATGGATAGATAGATGGATAGATAGACTGAGAAACAGATTGAGAAAAGAGTTTTTTTTTTATTATCATCCTTATTACCTTTATTGTAATTATTATCAGTATTCTCATTATAATTGTTATCATTACCAATATCATTAGGATTATCATCATTATCATTATAACCATTATTGTATTATTATATTGTTATTAATTATTATCATCATTATTATCATTTTCATTTTATCATTATAGTTGTCATCATTATTTCTATCATTATTATCATAATTATTACTATTATCATCATTATCATCATTTTCATCATCATTGTTATTATCATCATTATCATTAGCAATATTACTATTACAATTGTTATCATTATTACTACTATTATAAATGTTGTCATTATCATTGTTGTTATCATTATTGTCATTGCTGTTATTAGTATCATTATCACTAATATCATTATTACTTATATCCTAATTATCACTATGGTTATTTTATTGTCATTATCATTATCATTATCATCATTATCATTATCATTGTTAATATTATTATTGTAATTATTATTTTTTTTATATCATTATTATTATTATTATTATTATTATTATTATTATTATTATTATTATTATTATTATTATTATTATTATTATTATTATTATTATTATTATTACTATTATTATTATTGTTATTGTTATCATCGTCATTATCATTATTATCATTATTACTACTATTATTAGTGCTGCTATCATTGTTATTATCATTGTTATCATTATCATACAGTTATCACCATTACCATTATTATTGTTATCATTATTATTACTATTGCTTTTTACTCCTATTGCCATTGTTATTATTATCACTATGTTCCTGTTATACCAATATCATTATCATTACTATCATTATTGTTATTATTATGATGATGATGATAGTGATGATGATCATTATTGTTATTATCATTACCATTGTCATTATCATCATTATATTTATCATTGTTATCATTATCATTATTATATTATTATTATTATTATTATTATTATTATTATTATTATTATTATTATTATATTATTATTATTATTATTATTATTATTATTATTATATATTATTATTATTATTATATTATATTCATTATCATTATCATTATCATTATCATTATCATATCATTATATTATTATTATTATTATTATTATTATTATTATTATTATTATATTATTATATTATTATCATTATTATATTATTATCATTATATTATCATTATCATTATCATTATCATTACTATTTTGATTGTTATCATTCCTATTACTTTTTTTATTGTTATCATTCCTATTACTATTATTATCATCATTGTAGTCATTATTATCATTATCATTATCAGTATCATTGTTATCCTTATCATTATTATCATCATTGTTATCATCATTTGTTGTTATAAATCTTATGATCATTATTATTGTCACTACAATCATTACTATCATCATTGCAGTATTATTATTGTTATTACCATTAATTTTGTTATCAATATTATCAGTGTTATAAGCATTATTATCATTATCATCATCTCTATTTGATTTAATTAATGATATTATTATTATCATATATTTATTATTATTTATTATTATTATTATTATATTATTATTATTATTATTATTAATTATTATTATTATATTATTATATATTATTATTATCATTATTATTATCTTCCTTATTGTTATCATTACTATTATCATCATTTTCATCACTAACATGATCTACTTTTGCAATAAATCATCATGTTGTAAATATGATATTGTTGATAGATATTACTATTTTTTACTATGCTCGATAACTTTTTTTTCGAATTTTCTTATTAATTGAGAAACCATATGGGAAATGGATTTATATACACATCGCAGATACTGAATTTTTATTAACTGTTTTTACAAAAAAAATAATATAACATTTCCATTTTGAGAGAAAATACGGAATTCTAAATAATAATTTACATTTTTCTATCTTGTTTATAGAAATATATTAAAAAATATTGTTAATATTGATAAACTTCAACAGTTTGTAACCCGGAATTAGGAGCTCAGTCAGACGCCGGGAACAACAATAACAAACCTTCGCGAGAGACAGGAATAAGACGAGTTAGAACACCATAAGCGCCATTTTCTCGTTTATTTTGTGAAGGAAGAATAAGAAGAAAGGAAGAAAGGAAACAGAAGAATGCCTGAGCCTTTCTCTGAGGTGAGGAGGGTAAATGGAAATAAAGTGGGATGATTTTGACACTTAGGTTGCCGTGTGTGTGGTTCGTGGCTTAATTATGGATTTCAATAATGTTTGATAATTTTTTTTTTCTGGCCCTTTATCGTTCTAAGTATTTGATATGGATTAAGGTTTGGGTAGATTTTGTGCCATATGACAATGTCCCCTTCTTATGACCATTATTTTCTGAGTAGCAAGCGAGGGCTCAAAATCAGTTTCTTGTCAGATAATAAATTCCTAGGAAACTCCAAGTTCTTTAATACCGAAATCTGTGTGGTGGAGAGTCATTGGTATTTTTCAGAACTCGGCTACAGGCTATTGGATGACGTGTAGTTGCTTATTAACCCAATGTTGACGGGAAAATGTTGCGTTCACTTTAGCATTGTTTTGTTAAATGTTTCTGTACATAGTACATAGTAGATAGTAGATCTTGTGATCTCACCTTTCCTTGAAATAGTGGGAAAATACTAGAAAATATTATTGAAAACAAGGAAAAGGGTAAACAGGTGAGACAAGTAGTTCTTATAATTGGCACACTGGTGCCTTTGTAATTGTGGAGCCATCCACATGTAAAAACAATTACTAAATTAAACGCACATTTGGCATGGCATGCATGCACGTGCCATCACTGGCGGCAAGTGGTTAAATATCTGGTAACTGGTTGTTGAGCTCCAGACGAAGCCAGTTAATGAAGGTCTTGTATTTATTGAATTAGTTAATATCATAATCCTTCTTCTACAACATAGGCCTTAACATAATCAAATTACTCTCATGATTGTAGTACATGAATGTGAACATATCATTGGTTATGATGTAGGTCAAAGTTGAAACTAATGTAACATTTAACCCAATGCTGATGGGTAAAAATGTTTATCAAGTGGACGTAATAACGGGATTGTTGGCGCACATCGGCAGCTTCCTCTGTTTGCGCCCAGCTTGTTCGGTAGTTTGTGAGCGACATTTGGCACCTAAAAGCTATTTTGCTATAATTTATAAAAATATAATTTTGAAGGTTTACCTTCATTATAGGTGCCATTGCTTAAAATCTTTACCATATAAATGAAGCCGCTACTATCGGAGAAAAACAAACTCCAGCCGACGAGCCAATGGTGTGGGAATGGGCATAATACGTTGCCATCTGTTTTTTGGTCCACAACAGCCATGGCATGATATACATGCCACCTGTCGGCTAGTGGTTAATAAACATATTTTTGGGCAATTGTTTTGAGAACATCTCTGGATGCACTTTTCCTCAAAGTTCTACCTCTCATAGCTAGCAAGACATAGCTTAGATTGATTGCTTAATTGATGATGAATTATCATGGTGGTTTGGAAGCTCCATCTTGCCAGAATGCATATAGTAGATGCCTCTTTGTTTCTGCCAGTGTGATGGATGGAGTCCATGGGGTTGCTGGACATGGCCATGTGAGCTTAGATTTAAGGATTTTGATTAGCAATTGCATCTTCAATTCCATGGGTAACTCCTTGTTTTTTTGTTTTTTTGTCTTTTTTTTCCACTGGACAATTGGAATTTTATCCAATAAATAATCAGCATAAGCTCTCTCTTGGTAAATTATATGTGGTGGAGATATATTGGTCTTTGCTGAAGTGTTGATAGCGGAGGAACCATGACTGTTGCTTGATGCAGTGGTATTCTGGTTATTGAATCTCATGGACCCATGATATAAAGTTCTTAGCAAATTATACAGAAGAGGATTGTATGTAGTTTTAAAAAAGACTAATACACTGGTCCTTTACAATACTTAGAATAATGATGAATCTGTTCAAAGTAAAGATAAACCCATAGTTCCTTACCAAATGTCCATGGATACGCATACCAGGGGACATATTTGACACTAATGCTAACAAACCACAGCCATATATATTCAGGGAAGCTGGGACTTATACACCCCCCCTGGCAATAAATGTCAGATGACGAACCAGTCTAAGTTGTATCTTGCCAAAATATAAGGTTATATGTGTGGTAGAGTTGGTTGGCCATTTGCAGACAGAAGAGACAACAGTATTGCTTGATGAGGTCCTGGACAGTTACTCCTCCATTAGGAGATTTATATAAAATATATGTTTAGAGGTATTAGTACAATAGCTGCTCTTGTGTGTTTTGGTACTTTAATGGTACATGTATTAATGGTAGAACCTCTCAATAGGTTTTATGCTATCTATAAAAAAAAAACACCGTGATAGGTCTCAGTCAGTCAGTCACCCAGTGCATTTTCAGTCATTGTCTTTCTTTTTTGCAGCATCTGGAAGCTCAGGCTAGCATAATCATCCACCCAGGCTCGCGATACCTCCGCCTGGGTCGTCCATCCGACTCAGTGCCTCACACCGTCCTTCATGCCATCGCTCGCAAAAGGAAAAAGGGATTGCCGGTGTATAGTGACCCTTTCGTCATCCCTCAGGCTAAGTTGGTGCGCTCCTACGTGATTTTTTCTTGTGAAGGAAAGAGGCCTACCCCTTTTAAGAAAGAAGTTGCATTAGTATTTTATATTCTGGTCTCATTGATCTGCAACCTCCCTATCTCTGTGTATTACTCTACCATTGATGCGATATATGAATATACTATTTTTCTCATAGTAATTCCTATCTTTAGCTAATTGAACTATACAAAAGTACAAACCAGCCACACTCACACCATACATGAATACCCACTTTAGACTTATTGTGCTGCCCCTCCACCTCAAGGACAGAGAAGCCGTTCAAGAGCTGGAGGAATGTCGTCTGAAGGTGAGCCATATCCTGCAGTCTTCCTTAATGTCTGATGGATCGCGGAGATTCGCCACACCGCCACAACAGATTGCAGCGTACAATAAGCGCTTGCAGCCTGCACAGGAGGAAACGGCTGAGCCTTCCCCACCGTGGGTCCACAGCGACAAGGACTTTATTGTTGGTGATGAGGTAAGGGCTTTGCCAGTGATTGTTTGTGATTGTTGTTTGCCAATAAACTAACAAAAGTGTATGTTAGGATTCTTAAGATGTTTCATACTCTCTAACTCTTGGGATTGGTTCTGTCTCTTGTATATGGAACTTAGACATCAAAATTATCAACTGTATTTAGTTTGGAGAAATAATTATTAACAGGCTATAATTTGGAAGTAGATTCCTAATTTTGTAGTCGCTGATGGCATTGTTTTTTCTTTTAGTTTGCTGAGAGCCTTTCATGTAGCTGTTTGGATGCAGTTTTGATTTATAGAAAAGTTGATTGCATCATGAGCAGAATAGGCCTGCTATAGGTACTATTTGAAAGAAATGTTTTGATAAGAATGAATATAAAGAGGATAGTGAAAGGAATGTAATTGTTTTGATACTGATGATGGAGGTAATAATCATGACAGCAATCATAAGAATGAAGTTAGGAAATAAAAGAAAAAGAATAAAGTTATAGCAAATGTCACAGAGCCATTGATATCAAGAGCCACACCTGTACCACACCTACCACTACCGTTACAGGAGACCTTACTCATGTTTCGATTACTTTCCAGATCCTTTCCCTCCATCCTTCAGAGGAGTACAACATCCACTTCCCCTTCGTCCGCGGAGACTTGAACATTCACAAGAGCTTAGGGGGCTCGATCAGTGCTGTTCTAGCTGACTTAGAGACGATTTGGGGACACTGCATCTCTAATGTTCTCAATGTGCCTATCAAAGATTTAAAGGTATCAGTGTGTGTAGTTGTTGTTTTTGTTGTTGTTAATGTAGCTGTATTTGATTTTTGTTGTTCTTGTTTTGTTTACCTGTTACTGTTAAATTAGTTTTTTTTTTTGGGGGGGGGGTAGGTGCAGAGGGGATTGGTATTTCATCTATTGTTATTATTTTATTGTCTCTTTGTCTGTGTTTCTGTCTCAGTTTATCATTTTCTGTCTCTGGAATAGATGATGATAGATTGAGAGTAAATTTGCAGTAGTGTGGTAGATGAATAGATGGCTTAACTACCATCTCTAAATACCTACCACTTAAGGTATGAACCAGAGTGAGCAGAACTAAAGCTCTTGAATGGATTCCATCAAGTGCCCTTGAGGATCCTTTGTAAAACTGTGCTGTCATTATACTATTCCTATGGAACTAGTGTGATACTAGTTGAACAATCCCTTCAGTGGGTTGTGTGGTCAAATTTGTTCAGTTCTACTCACACTGCATCATACCTACCATGGAAGAAGAGGTAGGGAAGAGTCGTTATAGATCTATATCAATGTGTTACTCCATTTTTCTATCTTATGTCCTGCTATATAGAACAGACATCACAAAAGTAATATATAGTATCCTCAGCATCATACTCATACCTACAAATGCTTTCACTTACTGAAAGCATGTGCATAAACATTTAATCAAACAAGTCTTGTCATATAGTGGCACACACAAATTACTTGTTTACCAACTGCACTTCCCATGCAACACAAAAACACTACCCCCAGAGCTGATAGAGTACACCTCGCATGCTGTCACCCCTCACTTGACACAAGGGAAATGCACACTCAGTGACACACTCTCAAACTCATGTCCTAATTACCAGGTTTCCCCCTACCATGCACATCCCTGAGAAGTGCTCAGCCTGGACAGTTTACAGACAGTACCCCAACACATCCCCCTAACATTAACAGAGTTACTGTATGAGAATGGTTCTCCACCTACATGATATGTGGTTTCTGTAAAAGAAGCCACAGTATCAAACAAAAAGTATATAAGAATATGAAGAGTATCTGACCAGTGTCTTAAACAAATTAGGTACATGATGTGAAACTACTCTCATTTTCAAATTCCATGAAGTATTATGTCTGTGACTACATGCATGATTGTAGTATATCATTTCAGTGATTCTATGGGCAGATATGGTATCTTGTATTCTCACATCATCTAACCCTTTATTCCTTTTTTGCAGTTCTATCGTGCGGTGCTCCTCATTCCTGATATATACAACCGGGACTATGTCAAGAAACTCACCAACCTGCTCCTTAACGGCCTTGGCTTTGGTGGTTGCTTCGTCCTGCAGGTATGTTGAGTTTGGTATTACGTTACTGCTTCTGATTTTCTATAGATAGCTTTTAAGGTATTATTTATGGACTCTTTTTATTGTATATGTTTATTTATTTATAAACCATGATGATGATGATGATTATAAGTGTAATGTTTCTTATGATTATCATGACAATGATAATCATATTGACAATGATGATGATGATAATGATGATGGAGGTCTGAAGCAAAAGTTGTTTGAACAGAGAAAAAGTCACCAGAGTGAAACATCATATTTGGAAAGCAGTATAGTGCATCTTCACAAGACAGTAGAAACAAAGAAATTACCTATTACTACCTCCTAGTCTGTACAGCCCCCCCTCCATTGACAAACAGCAATGTATCAGTGTCAGAAAATGTATAACTGAGATTGAGTAAGGTCACTGTGCAATTTGTGCTGTGAAGTTATTCATTCTCATTTATAACTGTTTTGATACTGGAACAACATTTTTTTGTCTATCCATCAGGATTTTTTTTTTTTTTTTGCCTATGTCACTTCCTTTTTTTTATTCTTGCCTTTAACAGTGTTCAGTCTTGTTGGGGGATTTCCCTCTTTATGTTTTTTATTATCTGCCTTGCTCTTTTGGAGGGGTTGGGGTTTATTAGTTACTTTTTTTCTCTTTTTTTCTATTTTGTTGGAGGTTTTTGTGCTTGCGTTTCTTTGCTGTAAGTTTCTTATCCCTACATCATAGATTATGCATAGTACTTTGGTGCTTTCTCCTTGCCCTCTCCCCTTTTCTTATATTTTCTATTGTAGGCTTTTGCGTCAGATCTTGAGGGCAAAGAATGGGGTGTTTCGTGAATGGAAAATTCCTATATATCCATTCCCTGAGGCCTGATGATGGTGTCTCTGTCTCTTCTTGTAAAGCTGTTGCTCAGTTTTCAGTCGTACGATCTGATATGTTGTTCCGGGTTCATGTGGATGGGGTTGGGGGAGGATGATCAGGACCAGGGGAGTTAGCATGTGGATTTCTTTATTTCAGTGGTCTTGTTAGTTTGCATTATGCAGCTTTGCGTTTAACATATTTCACTTGGATTAATTTGGGCTTTGTCATGCCTCTTGCTTCAACACATTAGGCATTAGTACTCGTATGAATGGGGAAGGAGTTTTTCGCCCATTAAACTCCTCATAAGTGTTTTGTTGTTCATTTTATTAGTTGATGTGCCAGCTTTTTCTATCCATTGTTTTATTGTTTGTTTTTGTGTCAGATTATGTAAACAAAGTTTTTCTGAAGTTGTTTATCATTATCAAATATTAATCTTTTTGATATTGATGGGACTGTGTTGATATCTCAACTAAATCCCATTCAGACCTTTATATCAGTTAGCCAGTGAGAATATTTTAACTGCTCATACTTTATTTAATAAGTGTTTTTAGTATTTTTGGCTGTGGTTGAAATATTTCTGGATGAAAGATAAAACATTTATGTTAGGTGAACATATATTTCATGTGTTGGAACAATATTTGTGACACAAGGCAATGCTCTATTTTCTACTCCGTAAGCTTCTTCCTTCCCTCAAACAATGATGCTCTTTCAGGATCACGTAGCGGCAACTTTCGGTGCGGGTCTTGGCTATGCCTGTGTGGTGGACGTTGGCGACCAGAAGACCTCTGTGTCGTGTGTGGAGGATGCCATCTCACACCCGGCTACCAGAGTGAGTGCAAGACAGGTGGTTTGTAGGTCACCTGGAATATTCTTTTATTGGTTCTTCATATCTGCCTTTTATCTGTTTTTATTGTATTTGTCATCTGCCTTTAACTGTCCAAAGTAAGTTTTAAAGCATTATAATTTATTTGATGTCACATGGAGGTATCAGAAATGGAGTTCAGCAAAATCTTGTTTCAGTAAAAATGTGAGATGTTAATTATTTTTATAAGAGCATTGACAGAATTCAGGTAACATTTGGCCTCTTTGAGATGTCAGATATAATTGCAAAAAATGGTGTTGTGTGAGTGATGTTGAAATGTTGAAATCAAAGTAGGTTACTAAGTTAAGAACAAGTTTACAAGATTAGTTGGGTCAGTGCTTTAGCTAGACCAAGTGTGACTTAGCCTTTTGATATTTTGCAATGGTAGATAACTAATGAGTATTAAACAAATATGCAAATATACACCTACACCCATACCTACATCCATATCCATATCCGCACTCATGCCCACATACACACACACATGTACATTCACACGCACATATATGCACACAGATGCACTTGCACATGCATGCACACGGACATGCATCACATACACACATGCACATGTTGTGCACACTTGCACACACACATGCACACACACATGCACACACACATGCACACACACATGCACACACACATGCACACACATGCACAAGCACAAGTACATGCACACACTCCCCTTGTGTCCCCTTACTTTTTTTTTTTTTTTTTTTTTTTTTTTTTTTTTTTTTTTTTTTTTTTTTTTTTCAATGTTCAAGCCACAGTTTGAAATGAAAATCCATCTAAATTAAACACACGCACTCCAAAACAGAATTAACATCTTGTGTTTTTGTTCTCTATTCCCGGTATCCAGTTGAGAATAGACTATGGGGGAGCAGACGTGACGCAGGTGTTCCACTGGCTGCTGAAGAAGAGTGGGTTTCCGCATCAGGTCAACCCGGCCAACAAGCTCGATGCCATGCTGCTGAGCAAGTTGAAGCACGAGTTTTGTCATGTCAATCTGGTGAGGGGTTCTTGTGTTTTGGTTATAGCATGTTATATGCTGTTTACGTTTGTTACTGTATACATATGTTGTATTCGCATTTTTTTTCTATTTCTTGTGCTAATTGGATTTGTTATCACTATGTGTTTGTGCACTTGCCTTCACAATAATTCAAAAGTGCACTGTTTCTTCGTTTTTGTGAGGTTATCTTAACAATCTTTTCAGGAAATTACATGCACTATGTTCTCCTGAGTGCACCCTTGCAACAGTTTCATGACTTTAGCATCACTTCACCTCCACAAGTTCATGACCTCATCTGTACTACTATTTCACTAGATTTCACCTTGACTTTTCGTGCCCCTTCCTACTAGAATGTGTGTGGTGCGCAGGAGAAGAAGTTCACTGTGCACACGCCCGGAAAAATGCCCATCTCCTACACCATTCAGATGGGCGACGAGCTGATCGTGGCAGCCCTGAGCCTTTTCTACGCCGACTTGCTCAAGATTACCGGGCCGAAGATGATGCACACACAGAAGCCCAATATGGGTGATCCAGATGACCCCTTCGATGAGAACTACCTGCGAGAGACTAGTGTGAGTGACGGGGACTTTTCCTTGTGGGAGGGATTGATGCTGATTGTGTTTTCGAAGGGCAGTGATGATGGTAATTTGTATTGTTATATTGTATTTTTTTGTGTGTGTTTTTGTGGTGCTGCGCCAAAGTTTATTATTATTATTATTATTTGTGTCTGTGTGTGTGTGGGGGGGGGGACTTTTTGTATTAATTAATTAATTTATTTATTTTTATTCATTTGTTTTATTTGTTTTTGTGTTAATGTTTGTTTCATTATATTGAGCAAGCATATTAAGCATCAGAACATATTTTGCATCAAAAATTTACTATGAATGGCTTCATTATTTTGATGACTGCTCGTTATAAGACTAAACTGATTCCATTGATAGATTGATTAATTGTTATGTTTACAGCCATCAGTTTTGCATGTAGTTGATGGCTGTATTTGTGTGCTCTGTTCTCCGATGTAGCTATTTCACAACACAAATATTTATAGTATTGAATGTGTCTTGATATCTGTTTTCATAGAGAGAACAATGACAAAAAAAAATATATATATAAAAGGTTGCCAATTCTAAATGTAATCCAAATACAACCTTATAGGAATTAACTTGTATATCTTGTTACTTGTTATATTATTATTTTTCAGTGCCTTGGGTAGGCTAACGATATACTTTACATTTTTCAAAAGAAGTGGGACTTTGTCATTATGTCAGTATACAACAATTTTCTATTCCCATTTCCGCGCTTCTTCCTCCAGAGAAGAGGAGGGAGAGAAGCTGCGGAGGCCATGGACGTGGGAGGGGGGGACGCAGGGGATGGAGGAGAGGAGGACATTGTGGTGGACGACCAGCCCCTTCCCCCGTCACAGATTCCGTCCTCCTCGTCTGCGCGAAACGACTCCCTTGCCTTCAACTCGAATGAGAAGCTACTGTCCCTTGAGCAGGCCATTTTGACTAGCATAGACAGATGCCGTGAGTTTCCGTGTGGCTTGATCTTCGTTGTGAAAGGACTTTGAGATTAATTTGCAACTGGTGAACAACTTCTTTATTATCATTTTGATTTTTTTTCTCTTCTTTTTCAAATAAGATAAGATTGGCAGTCTAGATTGTAATAATTTGAAGATTAAAAAAAATTAGATATCTGTGCAGGAATATCATGGTTTATTGTTTGAATGTTTTTAATTAGGCTAATTGACAAATTTAATCGTAATATTTGTTGACCTTTGTGTAAATGTGATTAGAATATTAGAATATTATCTTCCTCTTTTTTTGGCTTCCTGTTTTTATTGTTTTTTTTCTCTCTTTTGTGCTGTCTAATATTTCTTTGTTATCATTTCTTTCAATAATCTATCTCAGTACCACCTCCTTCCTTCATGTTTCAACGTCCTAAGTTCAGGTCTGAATCCCTCTTGCAGAAAGTGACGAGATGAAGAGAAAGATGTACAGCAGCATCTTGATGGTGGGAGGGGGAGCCAAGTTCGAGAGCCTCGGCAAGTGGCTGCAGAGCCGACTTTTGTTACAAATTCCTGTTGCATATCGTCCAGGTAAGAGTACTTGAGTTATGGTTTTTGTTTTTAAAATTGTGCTAAAAAACATGGATTTCCAGGATTTGCTTACTGGATTTTCATCTTTTAGTTTATTTGATAATTATGCTATAGTTTAAATTTGTGTAGTATATCTGTAACACGTTCCTTAAATGATGCCACGAGGGCTCATTAGTGGGGGGTTCATTTGCAAGTACATCAGATATTTAGTAGCTGCAGTTATTAGGAATTTACCCGTGTTTTTAATTCATCACACTCTCACCAACATATCCCACCGATCTCTTTAAAAAACTATCAACATTGGGAAAAAACACCTCAAGTATATCAATTGGCATCAAGACGACCAGTGTAATGTTAGTGTGCTAATCCAGGGAGCATCGTATTGCAGTTGTGCAAACGTATAGCTTGGACATGAAACTTCTGTTAAGAAAGGCTTATGAAGATGCCATATTACTGTATGTGTCCTATATTACAAATTATCACGGTAAGGAAAGTTATGAGATGAAATCATGATGGGAGAGAAATCATACTGATGATTGTCAGTCACCAGGAAATATTTTGTTTTATTCTGAGCTATTTTCCTGGGTTAAGAATTCTTTAGTTCATGAATATTTGTAATTTATAATTCAAGAGTGGGGACAAAAAAACAAAAACAGCCTGTCCACTCTGTAGCTAGGCTAGTGTTGGCTTTTCTAAAAAAAAAATTAATATGTGTGTGTCATTCTGGGCAAATGGCCTGATTTTTAAAAGCATCGTCCGAGGTTTTGTCAAATGGGTCCCTCGTGGCCCAAGGCAATTAAAGGAAATAGGAAATGAAATTGGCTCAAGCAGAGGAGCTTCATTTTACTGGCATTTTCTTTCTTTCTTCTTCGTCTGTTTCTTGTTCTTGTTCTTGGTCTTGATCTTACTCTGTTCTTGTATTTTTTGTAGTTTTTGCATTGTTTTGTTGATTGGCAATTTAAAAAGTATTGTATTGGTATATTTATTATATTGTTTATTAATTTTTTATTTATGTTGATTGATATGACTATATATATATATATATATATATATATATATATATATATATATATATATATATATATATATATATATATATATATATATATATATATATATATATATATATGTATATATATGTATATGTATATGTATAATTCCTCCCCCTTCCCCTTTCTTTCTTCTCTTTATTTTGCTTCTCTTTCTTGAAATATTGAATAATTGTTCAATGAGAAGGTAAGATCCTGTTTCACATTACAAATGTAGATATTTTTATCATGAGCTTTCTTGAAGAGGTATTGAAGTATGGAGGATCTTGTTCATATTTTTTGTTTGTCTTGGTTTTTTGAAATATTGAATAAATGTTAAGTAAGAATAAAGAATGCTGTTGCTACTGAGAAAATGTTTTTTTCTCTGAAGTTTGTAATACTTCAGAGATAGAGGAAGTAATAGAATGATAATATCAGGGGAGAAATATCACAAGATATTTTGTCCTGATACAACCCTGTTTTCCAAGGATATTTGTTGGAAAAGAGGAATTTCATACATTACTTCACAAATGAAGAATGTTTGTGATATTTTTTCTCCCAGTGACGCCAGCAACAGTATTAATCACAACGAAATTCCTCACTCCCCACAGAACAAATCGAGATTATAACCCGTGCGAAAGACATGGACCCGTGCATGACGGCGTGGAAAGGCGCAGCGCTCATGACCTGTCTGGAAGGGAGTAACGAGCTTTGGATCCAGCAGGCGGAGTGGAACAAGCATGGGGTGAAGATCCTGAGGGAGAAGTGCCCGTTTATATGGTAGCCGAGGGTTGGACGGGCGGATGTGCAATGTGAGTGGGTGTGGTGTGCATGCGTGTGCGTGCTTGTGAGTCAGGTGTATGTTAAATAATTGATAAAATATTGGTTTTATTGAAAGAGTTTTATTGAATCCTTTTGACTGTGGTTACATGATTACAAAGTCTAATGGTTTCCAAAAAGGAGAATGTAGTGGACATTTTTATATTTTTTCTTATTTGGCATCAATTACATATGATTTGCCTATTGTACTATATCAATGATGATGATGTATATGTACACTATGCTTTATTTATATGATGAAACAAAAAATATGTGAATATATGCTGTTTGAAAAATTTGTCTTAATATATGTATTAAATGATTATAGCAAGAGAAAATGTATAACCACACCTCTTACTGCAATGATAATAACTCATACCATATACTAGATAAAAGGAAAAGGAAGGAAAATCGAATTTTGAAAAATTAGTAAATTAGATTCAGCGAGAATAAGGAGGAAGAGGAGAACAGGGGGACGGTATTGCAATTGCAAAAGGAAATGCCTTCCAATTCCTCTGTGTATAAGCAAGAATTGTAACTACCTCCCTGACTTAGAATCAAACATTATTCTTGGTGATAGCCAGAGAGAAAGTAGCTGGGTTCAAATCCTTAAGAGAACCACAGATAGGGAGTTTAGGCGGTGTCAAAATCTAGATAGGTATTAATTTAGACTTTGGGTATAGTATTTGTCATGGAGCATGGGACCTACGAAGGAACCAGGAAAATGAAACTTTCGTCATGTTTCTTCCATTGTCAGCAATTTCTGAATGCTGTTTTCACAAACCAAACTTCACATTTCCATTATTCATATATATAACATATTGATTTGATCTGATGTATTATAGCATCATGCATTTGAATGAAGTTTTGTCTTTACATTGCAGTGCGTTTCTGTGTTAGCTACAGGATTTTGAGAAATGTTTTATAAATGATATATGAATAGATATTGTAAACAGGTCCTACAAAGGAATAATCAATGGGACATGCATTCTTGAAAAGGGGTCCACATACCCAGGAGGGTAGTTACACTTCTATATAATGTAAATTTCTGTATTTTCCCATCATACACAGGAATGTGTGTTATGTAAGAATACAGAAAGAATCCTCCCGAACCTCAGAAGTATGCAGAGAATCTCTTAAGATTGACCCACCCATCCACGAAGACAAAAGGAAAAGACATGTTCAAATGAAGCATACATACACTGCCATAGTTGCACACTAACACAACTAGTATACAGCCAACATATATATATATATATATATATATATATATATATATATATATATATATATATATATATATATATATATATATATATATATATATTTTTTTTTTTTTTTTTCTCTGCTCTCTTCTCCTCTCTCTCTCTCTCTCTCTCTCTCTCTCTCTCTCTCTCTCTCTCTCTCTCTCTCTCTCTCTCTGAAACTTTTATACATTTATATCAACATGGCTGAAATAAATTCTTTGAACACTGGAACTGAATCCTCTTTGTACAAATCTTTTCCTTTGTATCAGATAATAACACCAGTGCAAAAATTCTGAACACAAATGCATCAGAAAAGAAAGAAAAAGAACAAAAAATGGAACGGAATAGAAGAGACAATAGTATTTTTCATACAATTTGTAACAGGAAAAAAATATTATTAAAAGTTATGAGTTTTTCTCAGAATGATTGTGTAAAAAGATTGATGCAACTTGTCTGTTTCAGATTTTATTTATTTTTATTATTTGTTATTGTGTGTTGTGTGTGTGCTGTGTGTGTGTGTGTG